CATGGGCGAAAGCCACCCCCTGCCCCACCGTCTGTTGTCCAGCGCTCCTAAGTGTGCCTCTTCTGGCTCCAGGCTCTGCAGTAGTGACATGCAGTTGCTCAGAGCAAGCCCACTACAGACATGATTATAGAAACTCTCTGGCTTCCCCTTGTCTCTCAAGTTTCCCTTGCCCTGGCATATTAAAAATAGAACTAGGTAGCATGAACATTTCGGTTTGCTAGGCTCTTCCTTTATGACCCATCACCATCAGGACTCAGGGTTGGTATGTTTAGCTAGGAAGAGGTCAACTTGAAGGAACCAAGAATTGAGCCCCTGGTCTGTAAATCTTCCTCTGCCATCTCCCAGAGGGATCGGACTTCTGTGAGGTCTGGTCTGCTCACAGATGTGTTCCCCTCTCTGGGATCCCTCCTTGAGGACAATGAGTCTTGTGTCCTTTCGTTAGCTCAAGCCTTCTATTTGTGCCCCTTGGAAGAGGCACTCTCTAAGAGCTAAAAAAAAGTGCCTCACATGAGTTTCACCTCTCCACAAAGGGTGGGCATTTTAACCAAAGGAAACAAGAAACACAACACATATGAGGGGGAAAAATGGTACAAAAGCAAAGGAGAAAAATGATAAGGAAATTATAAAGCAAGTTGCTTCCTCAGAGGCATCTGGACCCCTGATAAAGTGGTTTGTATGGTTCTCCTTAGGGTGGATAGTTCTCTGCCATCCACTTCTCTTAGCCTTGGATGTACCCAATTGTATAAAAAGAAGGTATATTCAAATTCTAAAGGAAGATGGGGAATAGGGTTTTTCTTGAGTTTGGTTGTTCTCCTTAATAACCCAACAACCTTTTGGTTTCAGGGGTAACCATCACCAGACTGAAAAGGTCATGCTGTAGGGGTACCTGGGTAGCTCAGTTGGTTGAGTGTCCGAATCTTGATTTTAGCTCTGGTCATGATCTCTGGGTCATGGCATTGAGCCCCGTGTGGGGCTCTGTGCTTAGCACAGAGTCTGCTTGTCCCTGTCCCTCTGCTCCTCCCTGGCTTGTGCTCTCTCCTGTTTCTCTCTCAAATAAGTAAATAAATAATCTTTTAAAAGGCAATTAAAAAATAAAGAAAATCATGCTGTAATAAAGACCAGGGCATTTGATAGAAAACTCCAGAATCCTGTGATATGAATGGGGGAAAAAAATCAGTCGGAGCCTAGCAAAGGCTTTGTGTAATCCCTGAGCAGTGGTTCTCAATTTTGCCTCTCCTGCCCTGGAGACATTGGCAATGTCTGGAGACATTTTTGTCAGTCAGAATTGGGGGTATATTATGCGCATCTGGTGGGGAGAGGCTAGGGATGCTGCTGATGCCACAGTAATGTATATTATGTACACAGTGTATATCGTACAATGTATAGCCCCCCAGTGAGAGTAATCCAGCCCAAAAGATCAGTAGCCCCAAGGTTGAGAATCCCTGCTCTAGGGCCAAATCATAGTACAGACTAAAGTCTGTCCTTAAGGACAGACTACTACTTCTTTCTTTTTCTTTTTTTCAGCATTTTAGTTATTATTTTTAGAAATGTTTTATTTAAATTCAATTTAGTTAACATATAGTGTAGTATTACTTTCAGGGATAGAATCTAGTGATTCATCAGTTGCATGGAACACCCAGTGCTCATTCCATCATGTGTCCTCCTTAATGCTCATCCTCCAACTACCCCGTCACCTACCCACCTCCTCTCCATCAACCCTCCGTTTGTTTCCTGTAGTTAAGAGTCTCTCACAGTTTGCTTCCTTCTCTATTTTTATCTTATTTTATTTTTCCTTCCCTTCCCCTATGTTCAACTATTTTGTTTCTTAAACTCCACATATGAGTGAAATCATATCGTATTTGTCTTTCTCTGAATTATTTCTCTTAGCAAAATACTCTTTAGTTCCATCCATGTTGTTGCAAATGGCAATGAAATGGCAAGATTTCATTCCTTTTGATGGCCAAAGGACAGGCTACTACCTCTTAAGGACAGAAACCAAATTCTTTATGACTTTTCTAAGCACAGTTGAGGAAGAAGCATGGTCAAGCTAAATGATTCAGTCCTAATTGTTACAATTTGGCTAACCCTCAGAGCCTAATCTCAAAGTCCTTGCACTTTCTCTCCTAGAGGATTTCCTTGACATTACTTTTCTCCTGGCAAAATAGTCCAACTCTGGGGCGCCTGGGTGGCTCAGTGGGTTAAGCCTCTGCCTTCAGCTCAAGTCATGATCTCAGGGTCCTGGGTTCGAGCCCCGCATCAGGCTCTCTGCTCAGCGGGGAGTCTGCTTCTCCCTCTCTCTCTGCCTGCTGCTCTGCCTGCTTGTGATCTCTCTCTCTGTGTCAAATAAATAAAATCTTAAAAAAAAAAATAGTCCAACTCTGTAGTTCCTACTAACTTCCAGAGAAAACCCTGAATAAATCAGACCCTAATTACAAGCATGCCTCAGTGGAAGAGTATATAAATACTTGAGTCTGAATTGCTCAAGGTCCACACTGACAAACGGGCTCATCCCATAAACCTAAAATGGCATGTTACAGTCTGAGGCCCCTCCAAGTTGGTGTGAGAGGCCCCTCATGAATGCAGGTGCCCCTGAGGGGTGAGATTTGGGTCTTCACTCCTTTGGGGCTGTCCCCCCGCAATTGCTCCTTGGGAAACAGCCCTGTTAGCTGCCTGTGTCTTTGAGAAGTGAGCAGGAGGGGACATTTCTTGCCAAGTTTCTATAATCAGCCTCCAAATGAACAGGTTTGCCTTGGACTGCCGTGGTGTCTCACTCCAAGGGAGAGCTGGGCCCAGCCTGGACTCCATGAAACAGCATTTCTGGCTGAACCGTTCAGGAAAGGCAGTGGCAAAGCTGCGTTTGGGTTTTGATCCTGATGTCCTTAGCTTGGAGTCAGTCTCCAGGCTTCTGCTGAGAGGCCCCTCAAGCTCCCCAACTAGACTAGGAGAGTCTACTGAAATAGCTCTGCTACAGGCCTGACCACACTGCCCCCTCCATGAGCGCCAGCTTAGACCTGAGACAGTCTAAGAAGATGGCTAATTATTCCCAGTGCCACAATCCATTGTTACAAGAGGAGGTTACTTTGGGATGTCAGGCTCAAGTTCCTGCATGGTTTCTTCTGATCCTCTGTAACTGTCCTCAAACACTGTCCCTGCAACGTAAAGTGAGGATGAGCAGTTGTTAGTGTCCACTTAGAATCATATAACATGTTAGTACTGAAAGGATGTTAGGTCACCTAGCCCAGCCTATCATTTTATGGCTGAAGAAACCAAGCCAAAGAAGGGACATGATTGGCTTACATCATACAGCCAGGAGGAAATAAACAGAGGCCTTGAACCTAGGTCTTTTGACAATAGGAGGGGGAATATTTATCACCGTATCCCCAGTGTATCCCCAGTGACTTGTACAGACCAGCCCAGAGAGGAGATCTGATTACAATCTTTGAATCACAAACAAAATTCTACCTTATCTATGTGGGCCCAGTCCTTTATCTCCAGGTAGAGTTTTTATGTTTTTATTTTATCTAAGAGTTGAAGTATTTTCCATTTAACCTTTGACTACTACATATTCCATTTTGAAGAATAGGAAAAGAGAAATTTATATCCAAAAGAGATCATAAAGGGATAATTCTGTACATTTGAGGCATTTCCTAGAAAAGAAGTTGACAGTTACCATCATATAGATTCTCGATTTTTAGGAAGGGTCATTGTTCACGGATTCAGTTTTCAGACCAGGAAACTGAGGAAAAGAGAGAAATTACCTTAACCAGTGGCATCTGGAGAGGAGAGCACAAAAGATAAATTCTTGGGCAGTTCTCAATTCTGTAACTGACAGAAGAACCTAATTCTGACCATAGGTATGGGTCTGTTCAGAAGGGCACATTTCTAAAGCTTTCTGGCAAGGGCTTCGAAATACAATCTTCCTATGTTTAACTAAGCTTAGTCAATGGTAATTATAATCTCACACAATAAGAAAGGAACAACAACAAAAGAGGTACACCAGAGGAGACCTGGTGAGAGCTGATAGGTGGGTCAATGGGGTCATGTTTAGATATGGTCACCTGGCCCAGTTCAGTGACAAGTGATGTACAAGGATAAAGTGAAACTTCCACAGACCTACCCTGCTTCTGACCACTTGCGGTTCCCTTCTTGAGAGCGGCTCAAGAATCTACAGTGAGAAAGTGAACTTGGAGGTTCAAAGAAGAGTGTGGGTCCCAACAGTGTTCTCTTACCTGTTTCCCTGGACCCCCCGGCTTCCAAAAGTATTGACACAGATACTGAACAGATAAAGATGTTCAATGTCCTTCTGGGGAGTTAGGGTTACAGATGTAAAAGAAGAACTGAGCTTTCATAGCATTAGGACTAAACCAAACTTCATGCTTCATTCAGTGTAGCTCCTGTGTGCCTGTGCTTAAGGAGATGAGACCAAAGGGCAGTGAACGCAGATGCTTTCTTGCCTGACGGGTCCTGCTATATTAGGCTGTGAGCTGCTGTGGCTGCAAACATGGATTATGCCCCTCTGTGAATCCTTACAAAGGACCTTCCCGGACCTCAGTGATGCTGGCTGTGCTATGAGTCACCCTGCCAGGCTAAAGATGGGCCTTCATGCCAAGAAAGCCTAGGGTAAGAAGTCAGCAGTTTGATCTCATGAAAACAGTCCTATCGTGTATCTTAAAAGAAGGGTAGTTCTCCAGAGCAGAGAGGTCCTCCAGAGCATCCTCTCGTCCCCATCTGTGGGAGACTCCAGATTTAATGAGGGCTCTGGTCCAGACACCTAGAGTTTCCCCACAAAGGCTCAGGAAAGTCAAGAGCAGAAGGGCAGCCTCAGTAAACCCACACACAGTAGCTTCTTACACACTCTCATTCCCTTGGTAGCCAGAGTGCTCTTAACCCAGTTCCTAAGGGCATCGGTGACAAAGCCCAAGGGTAGCCACCCAACTTCATGTAAGATGGGTGTCTTGGCACCACACTCCCCCCCCCCCACACACACAGCATCTTCTCACCTTGTCGGAAAGAGATGTACACCTGCCTCTCCTCAAACTCCTGGACCCGCCGGAAGTTGTTGACCATTTCTCTGGGGGATGGGTCATCCACATAAGTGTAGTACAGAGCAGTCTCCAAAGCCAGCAGCTGCAAGGGGAGCAGCAGAAACATACCCCGTGGGCAGAGTGATGCTCTCTTGCCTGACCTCAATGGTGAAGAAGCTCTGGGGCTTGGCAGGAGGCACATTAGAAAGCCCTGGGAAAGCCAGAGAACCGTGCCCCTCACCAGCAGGTCTCTGGTTGACTGGGCACTGGGTGAGCTGGTCTTTCCCCTCCTCCCAACGCTTGGAGGAAGGTTAGTGCTATTAGCTGCTGGGTGGCAGAGGGACTCCTCAACATCCCACAGAAATAGTGTTCCTCTCATGGGCCTGATTTGGAACCCAGCTCTAAATTGGAGAGACCTAACGCTTATTCTGATGGTCTCATCTAAAGGAACAAAAAGAAGGAGGCAAGAGTTTCGCAGGCCCTCTGATGACTGGTTCCACAGAATTTTCATACACCCATATAGATTATATAATCGGTTTCCAAGGCAGTTTCTAGGTTAGGGTATTACCGTTTCCCTGAACATTTCATCTCTTGATTCATCACATCTTTATTCCTGTCCGCCTACCTGTTGCCATTTATCTACATTACTCAGATCAGTAGCTCATAGTAAAAAAGAAGGAGCAACAGAGAGGGATTTCCTGGACTCAGGGAGAGGGTCAGGGGGGCGGGGTGGGCCAGGAGCCCATGTGTGGCACTGCCTGGGCCGTGTCTCCTGGGCAGCCAGTTTTCTTCTTGATGAATTTCTGGGGAGCAGAGGGATGGACAGTGACCAGAAACTCCGGTCTGCCTTTGGGGCTTAGCTTTGTGGCCAATCAGTGGGCGATCCCACAAGCTCCCTCATCTGTTTACCCCTCACTTTCATCACCTGTAAGATGAGAGGGTCAGAGATGATTGCTGAGGACTCTGTGCCCCCAGTTTTGCACTAGACCTTGAGCTTCCTGAGGGCGAGACCGTCGCTTACTTACTGCTGTAACCCCAGCCCTCTGGTTTGTTAAACCATCTAACTGGCTCCGTCTTTGTTCTGCCCTATAAAGGAACTGTGCTCTCTCCAGCCACAGAGGAAACACCATCCAGCCACTGAGGGAAATGTTAGGAAATGCCGCTTAACAACTCGTTTGTAAGGAACTGTGGACCCAGGTTCATTTTCCTAGCTTGACGCAGTAACTCCACTCTGCAACTCAGCCTGTCCTTTCTGCCACGCTGCCAGGTGCCTGTGATATTTGGAGAGGTTTGGCATAGCTGTCAATGAAGCTCTAAGTGAGGAAACCAAGTTATTGATGATGATCTGGGTGACGGCAGGGACCAAGATACCATGTGGTCTGTGACTCAGAAGGGCACGACAGTTACCTGCTCCTGGGAAATTTGCACAGTGTTCCGGAAAACTGTCCAGAGCACTGTGGGGTGGCAAGGGGGTGTGGTCAGGGACCCTTTGTAGCGGTAGTACTCATCGGGCCTCTCGGGGAGCAGCTCTTCAATGCTGAAACCTGGAATGAGCACCTCTTGGCCTGGAGAGACATGGTGGAGAAATGGTGTCAGACTTTCTCCCCACGACCAACGTGCTGCTGCACCCATGACCGAACCTAGAATATGAACCTGCTCGCTGCATTCATTTTTCTTCAGGTCACATGGGAGTGACTCCCTCCTTCTCCAACAGAGGGCGAATATGCATCCAAAGACCCCTTACCTTTGTATCTTACATCTTGAAGGTGTTTGAAGATCTTGTCATAAGACGGATTGAAGGAGCCTATCTGCAACAGAGATGGGGCAGGCTGAACTAGTACAATTGTGTTGGCTGAGCCTGGTTCGACTGCTGCTCAGGGAAGGGCTCAGCTAGGGGCATATAGTTACCATTGCCAAAATCCTCTCGGGAGGATGCACTTTACCAGGACAATTATGAAGGATCCCTGGGCTGTTAGGGATTTGGGGTGATGGTCCTGTCCTCTTGCTTCTCAGGATCCAAGGTGCTGAGCACTCAAGGCACTGGGGCTTGTGTGTCCCAGGGCAAGGAATGTGGCTTGCGCTCCTGATTATCAGGCTGTGAGCAGGAAAGCCACAACTACCATGTTCTCTAACCAGAACTTAAGGGAGCTTGAGTTCACACAAGCCAAGTCAGGCAAGCAAGCATGTTGAGAAATGAGGTACATGTTGTCTTATAAGGGAGAAACATGCAAGCAAATCAGGAAACATTCCCATTTTCTGGAACTAAGGAAGTAGCTCACTCCAGGGTCCATGTAAAGAATGGAACTTGGATATCAGGAGTTGTGTAAGGGATTCAGATACCTGATGAGGCAGCACTGCATGATCCCCAACCCCAACCCCTACACTCAGGTCCTATTCAATGGGCAATTCTGAGCTTTATGCAACAGGGCTAGGAACGAGGGCTCATTTTTTCCAGTGTTCCAAAGGACATGCCCATTTCCGCTGCCCAGCTACAGAAAGTGCCGCCTCTAGGCCAAAAGAGAATGTACCCTATGGGGGAATACCTCCATCTTTAGAGGCAAGACACGGCCAACGAGAGTGGGCCATACACATCCAACAGACAGGAATTCATGGACCAAATGCTGAGTCTGTATCCTCCTGGCTTCCAATTTCACATAAAATCCCTTTAAACATCTTACCTCTATGAGAACAGCTAGGACGGCGAGGCCCTCTGACTTGTTACTGGCGCTGCTGGCGTTGGGGTACAGGTCTGAGTTATAGTGGACGATATGCAGCTGCAGTGGAAGAAAAGCTGCTCACAGGGGATGGACAACTCCTGAGAACCCTTGACTTTGCAGGAGACTCAAATCCAGTGGGGAGGACAGAACCCCTCTACCACTGCCCCAGGTAGATTAAGCCTCTCAGACCCTTTCCTTCATGGCCTCCCCAGTTTTCCCTTTTCTCTTAGTCCTCCAGACCAAAAACTCTACCAGGGCACACTGTCCATCTTATTCACTAATTGTATTCGTGTCTGATACGTGCTTGGAAAGTACCAGGTATACAACAGATATTGAATGAATGAATGAATGAATGGGTTTGTCTACTAGCCACAAAAAAGCTTGGGTTCTTTGAAGGACTTCTCTCTTCTCAATCTTTCTTTCTTTCTACCTTTTCTCCTTCCCTTTCTTCCTTTCCTCCCTCCTTCTCTTCTTCCCTCCCTTCCTTTTTTCCTCCCCCCCCCCTTTTTTTTAAGAGTGGGAGAGAGATGGGGAGGAAAGGCAAAGAGAGAATCTTAAGCAGGCTCTACACCTAGCACAGAGCCAGATACAGGGCTCAATCTCAAGACCCTGAGTTCATGACCTCAGGCTGAAATCAAGAGACATTTAACCAACTGAGCCACTCAGGTGCCCCCTCTGATTTTTTTTCAACTTTATTCTGGAGCCTATGGGAAAATAGTCTCATGTAGCCTGTCCAGCCTCAGCCTGGCCTCTCTGCATTTGATCTGGAAGTAGTAGTGGCTGAGGCAGGAAACCTCCAGTGGTAACTTACTGTAACTGTATCCAGAGTAGAACTCCTATTTATCCCACAGGTGGAAAAAAAAAAATCACAGCATGGGTTTTACACAGATTTAATCAGCCATATTTTAAGATAGCAGAAAACAAGAATGTTACTCCCTGAATATAGGTTCTTACCTTTAAAAAATGAAATTCTAAGCTCATTTTTTTTCAAAGCAGGAATTACTTGTCATTATTAAAGTGAGGAGAAGAGAACTTCCCAAGAAATCTTAAATTTAAAAGTCTAAGTATTAAGACATTGTTATAACATATTCTGACGATGTTTAACCTAATTTTTAATCCAAAAGGTGGTGTCACCTGTCCTCCAAAAAATTGTATTAGTAGGTAGGTCTATATATATGATACACATTTTTGTTGATTCCTTGCCTCTTGGGACTATAACACATTGAGATTTTCTCTCTTTTCCTTTTCTTCATCTCTGTCTTCTGTGTTTGTAAATAGAATTCAAGCATATTTTATTGAATACAACTCAATGTTCTTCAAATTTAAATGACCCTTTCTAATTTTTAAAAACTATACAAAATTATTTTTTCTTTTAAGTAGTCTTCTATTAAAGATTTCTTAGGAACTCTTACTTTACCATCTTTCCCTGTGAAGAATACAGCCTGTCATGTTGCCCATACCATGTAAGCTTGGCCCAGCTTTGCAAAATGGAGACTTGTCTATGGCTAAACTCTATACCCTTATTTCTATAGCTGCCCTTTGTGCTCGTGGTCTGTTTCACCACTTTTATTACTGTGTTCAGATTAAATCAAGAGGAGGTGAAGACTAACACAGACCGAACAGAATTCCCTGCCGAGATTAAGAGAGTCTTCTTTATAGGACTCAATCCAGAAGAACTGCTACACTTTCAGGGACACTCCATAGAGAATCTGCCACTTTGGGGTCACCTTGATGTATTTTCCCTATTATAGACATGTATGGTCCACCTTCACCAGGCCCTTGGTGATGGATGTGGCTTATGAGCAGAAAATACAATAACTAGAAATATTTTTAAATGCCCAAACTCTCCCAGCCTACACCCTAACTCCTTCTTTATTCCCTATAGATAAGTAGAAGCCTCCACATTGCAATTAGCCTGAAAGAAATTGCAGTCCTGGAGGGTCAGAGATGGGTTTGGTTTGAAGTACGTGCACCTCCAAGAGTGCCATCCTATTGGGCCGGAATTATAGCCCCTCCACACTTGTGACTCGACCTGTAATTAGCCTGAGACATTAAGCAGTTTAGCAGTAAAGAAGAGAGAATGGTCATGTCATTATTTACCAGCTGATCAGTAGCTTTTACCTCCTTGAATTTATTGCCCTGTACATGTTCAGAACCATACGCCCAAGTTCTATCCCGTGGGAGCTCTGAAATGGAGCAACTCAAGCACCCTGCGTCCCCCCTGCACACCTGTGGGGCAGGCACAACGCTCCACTCCTCCTGTTTTCGTGTGGCCTTTTGGGTCAGTGCTGCAGGATGACATGACATAACACAGTGCTGTGCTCACCTCCTAAACTATCCTGGTCGAGTCTGTCACCACGCTGATGTCCAGGGGATTGTAATGCCAGGCATCCCTCAGCTTGCGGCCAAGTAGAAGAGTAACCCTGGGTCCCAAGGTTCCAAGCATCACCCATGCCCAGGGGAAAGGAAAAATGGGAAGGGAAAGGCCTATGCAAACATCATGGCATGTGAAGAAAGACTGAAAAGTTTGCGGGAGCAATTAGCCCAGTATGATCCAGCAGTGGGATACATACAAAATAGTATATAGAACGGGCCTCCTGAAGCACATTCTAAGATCCTAACTCAAGTCTAGGGTAAGAAGCTGCCCCAGTTGATGATACCTTGCGATCTCTAAGCTGTATTACACTGATCAGATCCTGATAACCAGGGTCATCCACTGTTTTTCCGTTGACTGGTGTACCTCACACTTCTAACAGGTTTGGCCCTTGGCCATAGGTGGCTCCATGGTATTGGAGCACATAGATGCCGTAGTCAAGATGCTATTATGTGTCTGGGATGACCTACGTCAGCCAGACAAGCTGGTGGGATCTTGATCTGTGCAAGCAGAAGGGCAATGTCTAGAAAAGGGGTATGTGCGTCCCTCTGCCCCCCCTGGGAGCACTGCCTTCTGAGCAGCATTGTTCAGTAAGCGGCAGAGAGACAAACTCTCTGTGTTCAGGAGAGGAAGGGGACCAGGACACCACAAATGAGCTGCAGGGTGGCCAGAGTGGCTCTACCCTCCTGTGCTGCTGACAGCGCCAGGCGTGGGTATGGCGAGCCTAAAGGCAGCCCCTGCTTGTGCTCCGATCTTACCTGTCCACCAGCCAGGTGGAAGGATGCCAGACTACCCACCGCCAGGCAGCCTCTGCCAGCCCCATGGCCGCACTCACCTCTGCGGCAAAGTGCTTCCCACCAACAGTGTGCTCGGAGCCGTGCGGGTCATTCTGGTTCCCCCAATGCAGGTGCAGCTGTGTGGCAGTGTAGCGGGACCGGAGGCCCTGGAGGTGCATGTCCGGGGTCAGGTTCAGCCTCACTGTGGGGAGTGGAGCCTTCAGAGCCCTGGTCCGCTGAGCACTGCCTGAGAGCAGTGAGGGAGGCAATACCCGCCTGGGCCCAGACAGGAGGCAGGTGGACTCAGCGAGCAGAGAGACACAGCCTGAGGATCAGAAACTTGGGCTCTTCTGAGAACGGCCCCATTTCCCTAAACCAATTCTAGCAGCACCAACACCTTCTTGGCTCCCCTGGGAAAAGGATGGCAGGAGCATGAATACTAGACCAACGGGTGGGTGTTTTGTTTACACCTCCATGTATTACACACCCATCTATGAAGATAGAAGTTAATGAAGTATCTGCCAAACCATAGAATATAACAATAACAATAAAAATGACTATTTATGAGGCATCTACCATATTCCAGATCCCAACATACGTAATCTCTAGTCTTCACAATACACATCAATATGCCCATTTTCCAGACAAAAGCTCAAGGAGGTTAATATTCTTACCCAGAGTCTCATGACTTCTAAGTTAGGAGTCAAGCCAGGATTCAAATCCATGTTTGTCTGACTCCAGAGCCTGGGAGACCCCACAATGAACTGCATGGCTCCTGGAGTATTTGAGCCAAGGGACCAATGGGCTCAGGCCTGTCCGCTCCCCCCTCCCAAGAGATGGGCTGCTTCTGAGAGGTGCTGGCCTGCCAGAGCAGCCTCCGGCATCCCCTGAATGGTCCAGGCATCCCTGGGCTCCCCCGGACCCGCTGCCCGCTCCGCTTCTCCTGGATACTTCCGTGGACCCCCCTCCCTGCCGATGGAAGAGAGCAGGCCAAGGAGCTGAGGATGCTCGGACATCCCCTTGCAGATCGCACAGATCTCTCTCTCACCTGAATGGCCATCGTTGGTCAGGATAAACTGCTCGTTGGCAGAAACATTGTAGCCTTGGAACCCCAGGGGCACAAGGCTGGCGTCGTACTGGAGAATGTCACTATGCAGGTCTATCGGAGACTGTAGCATACCCCCACATGCCGGGTACTTCTTGGACCAGCTCTTTTCCCCATGGGGACCTGGAAGGGGAGATTCAAGCGCAAAGTTTAGTCGGTTTTCCACAAACGTTCTTTCCTCCCTTTCTAATCCTGTGTTCAATAGGATCCACTGCTTTTCTCCTCTTCATCCCCAGAGGGATATTCTTCAAAGCCCAGAGATCTCAGCTTACTGCTCACTTGCTCTTAAAGTGATATGGGGAAAAGACTAGAGCAGACCCCATGCCAAGAACTAGGGCCCACCAAGCTCCATTTGAATTTTTACACTGTTCATATTTTGACACAGTACATAACCTCTCCACATGAAGACCTACTGATTTTCAACAATTTTGCATCTGTTTATGGAGCACCTATTATGAGCAGGAACTACTCAGTCTTGGGGCCGCCAGGTTGAACACAACAACAGGGCCCCTGCTTGCCCAAACTTGAATCCTCTGGGATGCTTCAGGCTGGAAAAATTGGCCACAGCTCCAGGGAGGTCTCTGGGGTCAGTGGAGTTACAGGTATGATCTTCCTAGTAGGAAACCCTGGAAGACATTGACATACCCACATCTAGAGCAAGTATAAAACCCCACCTGTTAGGGATGCTTGAAAAATATCAAGTAATTGGGGCGCCTGGGTGGCTCAGTGGGTCAAGCCTCTGCCTTCAGCTCAGGTCATGATCTCAGGGTCCTAGGATCGAGCCCTGCATTGGGCTCTCTGCTCGGCGGGGGGCCTGCTTCCCCCCTCTCCCTCTGCCTGCCTCTCTGCCTACTTGTGATCTCTGTCAAATAAATAAATAAAATCTTAAAAAATATATCAAATAATTATATGGCTGGAATAATAGAGCTAAGCGCAAAGTTTATACTGGGAGAGTGTGACAATACTACGAACTAATGCCAAACTACCAGTGAGCAGGAAGAGACTTAAAAAATAAATCCTCCAGGGCTCAGGCTTCTTGCTAACTACCGGGTAATTGTTCTTCCTCTGGAAATGGCAATAAACAATCCAATCCCATGTTCAAATAAACTTTCTCACTCCCACAGGGAAAAGAATCTTTAAAGAATGTAAAGCTGTGTTTAAAAGATTATCTCCTGTGGTAATTAAATGGATTTTCAGGCGGAGGTTTCTCCAGAAAAGCAAATAATTAGCATGTCATGGCTCGTTAGGGTAGAACCATGGTGCCCTGTGGGCTCTCTCCGAGTTGGGACCCAAGTTTCACCATCTGGGGTCCCTCAGTATTTCAGCACCAGGAATGATAGTAACTGAAGCAGAGAGGAAATGAACACCACTTCTTCCGGGACCCCATCCATAGACAGCAGCACTATTTCACAACACACTGGCCTCACAGAATCCTGGCTCCTTACCCCTTGTTCTCTAACTAGGGGACTTCATCTGAGAGTAAGGAGAGTCAGAAGAAAAACTTGGTGTCCAGGTTCATTTAAAATGCCATGAGAAGTTGATCCGAGGTCTGGACATGCACAGTAGAACCCTACTAATTTTTCAGGCTTTCAACCTTTGGATATACCTTCTTGGAAATGTTAGAACTTGAAAGGATTTCAAAATGTCCTGTCCAACCTTTCACTGGACACCAGTTTTCTCACTTGCTCATGTCAGTCAGGGTCTTCACTGAGCTGTATTTTAATTTTCAAGACCTCAGAGCCCTGGATTCAAAGCAGTTCAACTACACCAAGATGGCAGAGGGAGAGGGAGCCTGGAGGACATCAAAGTAAGACCATTACTCAGCTAAGGACAAAACCAAATTCCTTAGGGACAGCAGGAAGCCGAGAGGGAGCAATCCTGAGGTATCACGCAAACCCTCAGGTCAGCAAGAGCGCAGCTACCAGGAACAAGCCTTCTAGAGTGAGGCCGCCAGCCTTTTTTCTGCTCACAGTGGCATTTGTACCCACAGCCAGGGTGGGAGAAGCTGCCAGCCATGCAGGAATGGAAAAACTCGGTGAGTAAAGAGGTACAGCAATGAAATGATTTCTCCTCGGATGCATGACTAAAGGGAACTGGGTTAGAAGGACTTTCTCTTCCCAGAACAGAGGTTCCAAAAGGTTTCATGAAGAGAGCATTCTGGTGCTAACTAAACCAAGACCTCTTTGGGGATAGGAACATCTCATTTTGATCCCTGTGAGCTCACATTGTGATTAGGGCCACATGAATAACAGACATTTGGTAAACACTTTGCCAAAGAATAAAAGATCCCACAGAACAGAGAGCTTAGGAAAAGGTTATCAGGAGGAATTTTTCTTTTTCATTGTGCCCTAAATACTCTTTATTGGAACTGACACTAAATTGGGTATTTGGGAGCAGGAAAGCCTAGGGATATAAAAGGCAGCAGAGCCAGTATTGGCAAAACCTTCTTCAGAAAGAGAAGCAGCTATGTTGGACCAGAAGAGTCCAGAAAACAAGATTTCAGCACCAGCCATCCCACCACCTCAGTGAGTGACCTTGAGCAAGTCACATTCCCTGCCTGAGTCTCCTTTACCCTTCAATCAAATGAGAGAATTGAACACTGTGTTCGGGAAGTTCCGTTCTGGCTCTCAGCTCTGAGATGGATGGAGATTACTAGGACTAAGCGCCCTCCACCCTCTGTATCAGCCAAGTTTGAACAACTTGGAGAGAGCTGCTCGTGCCAAGGCAGCTAGCTCCCGGGCATGTGACAAAGTGCCTGCTGGGAAGGGGCTGTGGGACTAAGAGCACACGGCACTGCTTTTCCCAGGGCAGGCAAGCCACCCACCTCAGGAACCTGCCGCAGTGTTAGCTGCCGTCACCAGGGGGCGCTTGTCTTGGATCACTAGCCACAGCCCTTTAGGGGCAACAAGGTCTAAAAAGCCTTTTCTACTCCTCCTGCTTTATTATCATTATTTGTAGTAGTTTTGGCCCTTACAACTCTATAGTATCAGCAAGGTAAAAATTGCACCATTATAGATGGTGCATTCAGGCTTTCATGGCCTGAAGCACCTCAGCCTGTGAAGGCCTTCAATGGCCTTCCCAGTCAGCCACCATGGTCAGCCTGGCTTCCCCATCATTATAGATGAAACATTGAGATTAAATGATTTGCCCTAATTAGGCCTTGGCTTAGTTACAGAGTTAACTTCCCTGGGTCACAGAGCCTCCACGGCCTCCTGTGTTAGTATTTATCCAGGAGATCTGGGGCATGCCTATGTCCTCCCTCCCCTGTGCTCTCCATGAAGGCAATGTTACCTTCACCCATGCCTCTCCGATGATGCCTGGCACAGAGCAGGCCCTTACCTGTTTACAGGGCCGTATTCTGATACTAAGTTTCTGCTTGTTCCTCTCCAGGGACACATGCCCCTTTATGAATCCCCCTAGCTTCCCAACCACTCCATATCATTTTTTTCTCTTCAAAAAAGAAAAGAAAACTTAGGTCACTTGCTCAGGTTCAAAATTTACCTTCCTAGCTTCCTAATTTACCTGCATGAGGATGTGTTCTGTTTGGGAGCATCCAGTGAGAAAGAAATCTGGTTTACTGCCCTGTGGCCTGGGAGATGACCTGCCAAGTATGGGGCTTCACAGCAGTTCATAGGAACCCCCTCCACCACCAGCATGATGGCCAGTGTCCCCTTCTTGCACGGTTGGGGACCTCGTCAGAGCAGCCTCCCATCCTCGTGGCTTGTGAGTGAGAGGGGTATGTGACGCCGTGTGGGTGGGCACCGGGGAAGCAGTATCGGGGTGTTGTCAGGAGACATCTTTCGACCCCCCACCCCTAGCCTCTGCCTGGGGGATGTGTGACTTGTTGCCAAAGTAACGCTGGCCTTTTGCAGGCAGCCACAACCCAGACTGTGGCTTTTCAACTTGGTCTCAACTTTCACACTTATGCCAAGTGCCCTGGTGCCAGGAAACCTCACTTGGGACTGATTCTTCCATAAGAGGCATTCATTTCCAGCTACCGTAAACACTCCACTTTTCTCAGTTTTGACTTTGCCTTTTCACTTCATTGGATTCCTCACATGATCCCGATAAAGGAGATCATGTGTATCTCCCAGTTTGTTTTTCCAAACAAAGTCAAAGCATTATTTCTTTCCAACTCATGTTTTTCTGCTTTAGGCAAAACAGAGTTGGGCCAAACCTCTGTTTTGAAATGTGACAGGAGATTAACATGGCCTAGCTTAAAATGCCTCTTGTGATCTCCGACTGGGAATTCTGAGGCCCAGGGTACAGGATCCGCATTACCCAAGGACAAGAATTTTTTGTCATGGAAAATTTCAAATACATACAACAGCAGAGAGAACAGCAAAATGAAACTCCACATCCCCCAGTTTCAACAACTAACCACTGGCAGAAACCAATCAGCCTCATTTGTATCGCACCCACTCTCCCCTATCCCTGGATAATCCTGAAACCAACCCAAATCATTTCCATCTGTATATACTTCAGTACGTGCCTCTAAAACATGACTCTTGAACCCACCTTACCATTACCACACTTAAAAAGTTAACAGTTCCTTAAGGTTATCAAATCTCGTTGGAATTCAGTTCTCCAATTATCTCATCACTTTGTAATGGTTTATTTGTAACCTTCAGGATTCTAGTGAGGTCCGTATATCGCAATTAGTTGACGTGTTACAGCCTAGATCTCAATTTGATGGCGTGATGCCTCATCAGAGAACCACTGTCCCCCCCCTCCTTCTTCCAAGGCTCATAATCTCAGAGCCAGGTTGGCTCCGGTTGTCCTCACTTGGTCATGGAGCCCCATGTTTCCGTTACCACCACCACCACCTCTACCACCCCAGGACCCACCCTCTTCTTGTCACACTGCACAGGCCTCCTGCAGAGTCCCTGCCTCAGCCTTTCCTAAACTCACCGCCAGGCTCCTTCCTTGTTGAGACCAAGTTTAACCAGATGTCACCCTGCTTCGAGGCACAGCCCCACCCTGCCCCTCCCTTCTTCAAAGCATGCCCTCCCCACCCAACAAAGCCAAGCGGGGCAGTAGCCATCTTTCATGGCCTGAAGCACCTCAGCCTGTGAAGGCCTTCAATGGCCTTCAGACTCTTCCCAGTCAGCTACCAG